CCCCAAAACCCCAAAACCCCAAAACCCCAAAACCCCAGATGACATGCAGCCTGTTGAAAATAAAATTATGTAATTTTAGGATTTTATTTATTGCTCTTGGTGTTTTAAGCACATGCTTGGTGAGGAGGCTAAGTCTGTCTTTGCTTGGATTTTTGCTTTGTATGAGATTTTATGAGAGTTTAAACCTACTCTGTTTCTCTTTCCTTTCGCATCTTGTATTATTAAACCCAAGTAGTTGAAACCTAGGTATAGTAACTTTTGTTGACGATTTTAAATATTCTAAACCTCTTTATCCTTCCTTTGATAATCTTTATAAGATGAGACTTGCTAGACAAGGCTACCTTTAAAGTTACTAAAAATATCATAAATTTTATGAAAGACGAAAAATATTGATTTGGTCGACTTATTGTAAAAATTACTAAATTTTACATAATTGTATGAATATGAGGTTTTTATTTTAGTAAAAATGTGCATGAAACTGGTGACTGATCAAATATTCAAGCTCAACTTGTTTTCTTGGAATAAGGCTACCAGATTACTTCTTATCTGTTCACTGTTTAACAGCAGGGATACTCTCCAATGACTCTCTTTATTGAGGGATTATAATAATTTTGGAGAAGGCTGATAGAGTATTTTCTATAAATCTTCACTTTAAACTAAGCGCAAATTTTTGGTTAAAATGTGGACATTTCTTCAACATGGTTTAGAAATCGAGGGAGGGAAAAGAATGGCTTATTGAGAGACATATTGTTTTGAAATTTTCGTCCCTCACGCTAGGCTTGCATCTGGTCTATCTAGTCTTTTATCTCAACAAGAGTAATATAGTTAAAAAATCCTGGTAAAATTTGGATATTCTCAATATTTTACCAGAAATCATAGATGATATTTTGTACTGTTAATGCAAAAATTAATAACTTTGAATAACTTGGGTTTAACATAACAAGCTCGGTTAAAAGAGAAACCCTATATGGAGAAGCTCAGCCTTAAACAGAGTAAATAGTGACTGGCTTTGCCAGGTATTAACGAGACTACTCTCTTTCCAGTTTGGATAAACAGATAAAACTCTTCTTGTATAGAGCTCTCCAGTGTCTACTAGTCGTAAAAAAAGAAGAGATCATATCTCGGCATCAGCATTGTAATCATTTTCGACTAATTCTTCTCAGAAAAAATTATACAGTGACAGAATTTCATATCTTGAAACTATTCATGTGGAATTATTTAGATCAGATTCATAAAAACCGGTTGACATATTCAATCTATAGCTCTGATCATCGTTAGCAGGAATAGCTGGTAAGGGCATTTAAGTATCAAGCTTACTTCCTAGGCATTAAAATCTCTCTAACTTGCCCTATAACGTTAATATCGTATACTGGCTGTACTGGGGGCTTGTATTATAAATGGCAAGAGAGGCAGCTATAAAAATATTCCAACAGCTTGGAGATATTTGTCAGCAAATTAGTATCCTGACGGTGGAAGGTATTGTAAGTAGTAAATCTAGAACTTCCTAATCGTACAGTTAGTGTAATTCGTCTGATTTAAAAGCAAGGAAAGTTTACTATTTCTAAAAAAATAATATACCAAATGAAAGCAATACTATTCGAGTAAACTGCAGTTAATAGGCTTCATAATCCACCTGACTTAATGTAAGACATCGTACTCTGAAAGTTTAATACTCAGGTTATTATGATTCTATGGAGAAGTCAATAGAATTCACGAATAATTAACTTAAGAAATTTCATAAAATTCAAAAACTTCATAAAAACTCAAGCGGGTTATAAATATACCAAAATTATAGACCAAGGCTACAAAAATATGCAGTCTGATTAACTTTTAACATCTCCAAATTGTCTTAAGACTCCTACTGAGCAGTCTCAGTTATTACAGGAATAAATGGAGGCATCTACAGATAAAAATCCTGATGAGGAACTACTTTTTGTAGGTTTGCATCATCTTGGAACATTGAGTTTCATTTTTGATGAATCTGGCACTTAAAAGAGAGACAGCTTATGCTTTAAGAGAGAAAGTAAGCTATCGTATTGATAGAATTGTTGGCTTAATAGTACATTGTACTCTCAAGGTAAATGATAGATACTAGAAGCTAACAGCTTCTTGGATCCATCGATTTCCACACATTCTTAAGTATCTTAAAATTTTATGAATAACTTAAGTTAAAACTTGCACTTTAGAATGATGAGGAGATGGTGTTTAAACCAGGCATCCCTTGTGCTATCAGTAACTTTGAAGCCTCCACATTTACTTCATTCTTGCTTTCTTCTTGGTTTAGGATATTTTCTTCACTTGGTTTTGTGGTCTTGAAACACTTTATCATAGGTACTACGTATGGAGATTCCTTAGCAGTGCAGGATTCTGTAATATCACAAGATGAGCTTCAAGAGTCTGAACTTTTTCTTGCTACCTCAGGGAAACTAAGATAGGTTGTTCATGGATTATAAAATCAATTCTGGGATGGACCCATACAGTAATCAGAACTGAACAGCTGAGCAAATAGGTTGACTTGGAACTCACTAATACCGTCTATCAATGAATCTAGATTCCTGTTAACTTTTGAGAACTTCAGAGGCTTGGTAGGAACAACAGGATCATATGAGTATACAATACTATAGTTCTGAGTTGAAGCTATTCCAGATGAAGTGGCATCTCCATCTTGGTTCTTTTTCTGTTCTGGGGCAGTAGGGTTGGAATGCATCTCTCTTGACAATTTCTCTATCATCTCCATGTGCTCAGCTCCCTTTTTTGGATCAAACAGACAGGGCTGAATAACAAGGACAGCTCCGTCGTGCTTTGTGATCACTTTATTATTTTTGATAGCGATCTGATAAAATTGGGTTCCACTGGCAAACTGGGATGAAGTTAGGATGCTTGCTGTGTGGCTTGGGAACTTAGCCTTGTGCTTACTTCTCTGCTCATAATTGAGTATCATCCAACAAGCTGTGCAGAGTACTTCTCTATTAGACTTCTTCTTGATGGCTACAATCTTCTTAACGTAATCATTCCATTCAGAACTAGGTTTTTTTAACATCGGTTTCTTATGGTCTTTATTATTAAAGTTTATTAATTTATACTTTCCCAATATTTATGCAGCATATTGGGGTTTTGGGGTTTTGGGGTTTTGGGGTTTTGGGG